TCTGTTCCCTCTTCCGGTCGCCTTGCCCTCTCTCGGCCGCTCTAGGAGTCCAAGGAGGAAGCGGAGCTGCTCAGGCTGGCAGTCTCGAAGGGCTCTAGGATAGAAACAGAGGAGCGGGTCAGGAGGCAAGGCAAGGCAAGGCAGGCAGTGTGTTTCTGTGTATAGGGTTTTACAAGGGCTGTGTGTGGGTTTTGTTTAACTTTGTATATTTTTATTAATTTTATACTATTTTAACTAGATAATTTTAATTGTTGTTTTTTTTAAAAAAATAGTTTTAATGCTTTATTATGCCGCCCTGGGTCCCCTTTTATAGCAATATAGCAAGTCCATTTCTATACCCCTTATCAGTGCACTTAAGCACTGCCTAAGACAGGAGTAGGCAACCTTTCCCCTTTAAGGGCCGAAGGACTTCAGCTCCCAGAATCCCAGGAGCTATTGGCCAACATGGGACTATTGGCCAACATGGCTGAGGCTTCTGGGAGCTGAAGTCCCTGGGCCCTTAAAGGAGACAGGTTGCCTACCCCTGATGTATATAATTATAATGATAATAATTTAGATTTATATTTGTATTATATTATATTTATACATGTATAGATTTATATTATATTTATATATTATATGGTTTTATATATATATATATATATATATATATATAATTTGTGTGTGTGTGTGTGTGTGTGAGAGAGAGAGAGAGATTGTTTTTGTGTACAGTATAATTTGTTGTTATTGTTATTGTTGTGAGCCTTCAAGTCATTTCTGACTTATGGTGACCCTAAGGTGATGAACTTATCATGGAAGTTTCTTGGCAAGTTTCTTCAGAGGAGGTTTGTCTTTGCCTTCTCCTGAGGCTGAGAGAGTGTGACTTGCCCAAGGTCACCCATTGGGTTTTCATGGCTGAGCTGGGAATCAAAACCTGGTCTCCAGAGTTGTCCAATGCTCAAACCACTACACCACACTGGTCCCGTACAATATATTATAATATATTTGTATGTGTATGCACACATGTTATATAGACACACACACACACAGAGGGGCCAGCGTGGCATATTGGTTTGAGTGTTGGACTACATATCTGGAGATCAGGGTTCAAATCCTTGCTCAGACATGCAATCCACTGGGTGATCTTGGGCAGATCACACTCTCTCAGCCTCAGGTGAAGGGAAAGGCAAAAGCCTCTTTGAACAAATCTTGCCAAGAAAACCCCATAGGTTTTCCTTAGGGTGCCATAAATCAGACATGACCTGAAGGCATGCAGCAACAAATACACCCACATGCGCACACATACACTGAATAACACTCAAATGAAAGAGTGGCCTCACTATGCATACAATGGTGCTTTAGAAGGAGAGGGTCTTGCGTGCACATCAGGGTCTGTTGCATGAGGTTTTCTGGCGTTCGGTGTTCTGGGCATCTGAGTACAGCTTTACTGGAAGAGCCCAAGCATAAACTTGCCACTTTACTTCCTGGTTTTAAATCCCTGGACCTTGGCTTCATGGAAGCTGATGGGAAGAGTCCAATAGCAGCTCCAGCCCTCCTCTAATATAAACATTTTAATGATGAAGTGGCTTGCCTGCCTAACTTATTCTGGGCACATATTCACAATTGATAGGACTTCAGATGTCTTCAGAAGACAAAGAAGCCCAGGAAGACGAACTTCTCGCTTTGGCAAGTATTTATGATGAAGATGAATTCAAGAGAGCACAGTCAGTGCAGGGAGGTGAAACCAGGATCTCTGTGGAACTGCCTAAGAACTTCACCCTGTTTTTGAGTGGTGAGTCCAGCTTTTAATACTACTTCTTTTTAGACATACTGGGCTACTAGGATAAATTCTAATTTGTGTTCCTGCTTCCTCTGGACATAGTGGGATGCGGTGGCTTATTGGCTAAGATGCCAATTCTGACGATCGAAAAATTGGAAGGTTGGCAGTTCAAGGCTCAGGTGCTGCA